CCTTGGGTAGCAGAACTTTTCAGATAACAGACACCAGACCACGTTTCCTTCGACCGAGTTTCCTGGTTTCATGAAACAGGCTGCAGCAAATACCGATCCGCCGTCGTGGGGTTCCCAGCCAACCAGAGACCGTGAGCTAAGGATCCCAACTCTTTCTATAATCATCACAAAGCAAGCTTGTTTTCTTCTTTCTGCAGAAGCCTATTCTGCCTTCCTCACGGCCACTCCTTTTGGGAACAGACCAGGTTCCCCCTTGCAAGACCAGTTCGAGCCCCCGCCTGGGTCGAGCACCCTGTTACAGTCCAGAAGCCCATCAATTTGAACTGTGGGTCAACCCAGGTCTATGCTGGGTTGATGAGGATCATGAAGGAAGAACCAATGCAGTTAGAATTTATTCAGAAAAAAGGGGCAATGCAGAGCTACGGCAGCGATAGCAAAGGGAATTCCCAGGACTCTAGGGACCCTTGAGTAAACTCTGGATCACCAGACACCCCCCCCAGCAGTGGAAAGGGGAGGCAAGCTTTACAGGAGAGTAGGGCTTGCAGTGAAGGAGAGCTGGAAAAAGTCCGAATTCAGACAGCAATCTGCCTTACAGAGATGTCCAGCACTCTGCCTTGCCGGTAATTCCATCCTTAGTAAACTGGTGGAGAGGGTGGTGGCAGACCAGATTCAGACGCTCTTGGACAAAACCAATGCCGTGGATCCGTTTCAGTTGGGCTTCCGGCCGCGCTATGGTACAGAAACGGCACTGGTCACACTGTTGGATGACCTATTGAGGGAGCCGATGGGGGCAAATGTCCTTGTTGGTCCTCCTTGACATCTCAGCTGCCTTCGATACAGTCAACCACAATATGCTCCTGGGGAGGCTCTCTCAGCTAAGAATCGGTAGCCTGGCGCTTGCCTGGCTCTGATCCTTCTTGGAGGACTGTCCCCAGAGAGTACAACTCAAAAATAATCCCTAGTTAAGTGAAACCCCCGCCCTCCACCCTTGTACAGCAACCAGAAGATGACATAACTGTATTTGAATGAACGTAGATCTTTGAACAGAAAAAAACAACACCTGAAAATAAGCCCTAATGGGTTTTTTGGAGCAAAAATTAATATAAGGCCCTGTCTTATTTTCGGGGAAACACGGTAGTAATTATGTTGTTGCACATATAAGGTTGATATGGGCTGAAAATGGGATAGCTTGTCAGAGTCATTATCTGTCCTAAAAAATTCCCATCTGTCCTGAACTCCCCTCTCCTTTAGTGCCTCTGTCCATGGAATTTTAGCCAATAAATCCCTAAATTTACAAAAATTGGCTTTCTTGAAATCCAGAATGCATGTGTGATTACACTTCACTTCCCCTTCCCACTGTGTAACGAATTCCAAGACAGCATGGTCACTCCCACCTACGGCTCCCATCACTTCATCCTCATTAACTAGGTCCTCCCTGTTGGCGAAGATGAGATCTGAAAAAGCTGTTCCCTTGTTGCCTCTTCCACTTTCTGGACCATGAAATTCTCTGCACGGCCAGAAAGGAATTTGTTGAACCTTGTGCTCTTGGCATAGTTTAACAGCCAACATATATCGGGATAGTTGAAATCTGCCATTACTACTACATCTTTCCCTGTTTAATGTGTGGCCATCTGCTCCAGGAAGGCTTGAGACTATCTTTGCATGGACCAAACAGTGACAATTGCATTCAGGCAGGGAAGTTAGCAGATTATTTAAGAGGGAAGGGGATTGGACCATGGGCACTTTCTGGTTCTCCATTGACAGCGTTGAGTCCAGAAGAAAGCCCAGCGTGTGTTGGGAACCACACAAACCACAGACATCAGGGGCTCCCATTTGGAAGACCCCGGTCTTGTTTGGGTTCAGCCTTAGTCTATTGTCCCTTTATCTTCCCACTAAAGGAGAAGGCGGGAACAGAAATGACGTTATCTCTTAATCAATTATCCTAAGCGTCCAAATGAGAGGTGGATGGTGCAAAGCAAAATCCCCCAGTCACGATTGTCTGTTCAGGGGGAAGAAGAAGGGAGCCTTGAAGGGGAACCCCTACACCCCAAATCAAGATGGCCAAGGTTTGGCTTTTATCAACAGGACCTGTCCTTGGTGAGCATGGGGTTGGGGTGAGCAGGATCGAGATTTCTTCTAAGAAAACCCTACACCTAAATAAGATGAAAGAAAACCAGACCCCCAAACACCACCACTTTGCAAATGTTCAAAGAAGAAGTGTGGTGTCGTGGATGGAGTACCAGAAGGCACCTCTTGAAATCTCACTTACCTTGCAAATGTTGGAAGGATCTGGGATTTGATTCTTCGGTTTTGGCCCTAAAAACAGCAAAGACAACTCACCTCAGCCTCGACCCGGCCTAGGAGAAAAGAAAATGGTCAGGCTGGAGGCTTCATGGATAAAGCAAATAAAAAATGTTTCCTTGCGGGATGTGCCTTCGTCATGTTGCTTTTGAACGAGGTCACATCCCCATCACTCTTTCTCTTCTTCAGGCAGCAGAACAAGAGGAAGAGAAAGGGAGCCAACAAAGAAACCACAGGAAGGAAGGAAGGAAGGAAGTAGCATCTATTGCTGGGCTCTGAGATAAAAGCTCCCCATCCCAGTGAGGTGGGGGCAACAGCAGGGAACCAGAGAGCAACAGGACCTGCGATGAAAGTACCAGCAGACAACAGTGTATTTTACCCACTATTTATTTAAAATATTTTTACCCCATCTTTCTCCTTTAAAAGGAACAAAGCAGCTTATGTTAATCTTCGAAACATAAAATTAAATAGTTCAAAACAGGAAGTCTATAAATTTAAAAAATGAGAAAACCAAAGCTACACTAAGAATGGTAAAAAAAAAAAAAAAATCAAAGTCTAGAAAACACCAGAGCCTGTGTGATGAGGCTTGGACCAGGCCCTCTGTTCTCATGAGACCCTCCATTATTTTTCTCACCCCAATGATACCAACGCAGGGGTGTGTGTCTCCAAAGGTGCCCCTCAGCCTCTGTGCCCTCCATGCCAAGTGCCCTATGTTGTGAGGTTGCCAACCCAAGGCGGGCAGAGTTCAGGTCTCAGGATGTTTCTCGCCTGCTGTCATACAACTCCCAACCTTGTTTAGGCTTCGCTCTTCCCTTTGAGCTCACTGCCAACCTCACAGGGGTTTGGAAGGGAGGCAACTGAGGGTGGGGGGTCCTGGCGTTGGTTCCTCCTGCTGTAAAAGAAAGCCTTTATACAATCACTTAGTCTGGAACGGACCCTTCAGAGCCATTCACTCCGCAGAAGACCCGCTGGGAGAGGGAATGCCCCAGAAGGAGAGGCCGGGTTGCCTTCAGCCCTTCTCTCCTCTTGCCCTCCATGTGGAAATGACTGGAGCTCCTTTTGCCTCTCTCCAAAGCCCCTTTATTCCTCCCCAGGGAGAGCCATGAATTGGAGGCGGGAGGGCGAACCCCTATGAAGGAGGAGCGAGGGGCAGGTCTTTTGCACAGCCAATGACCCTGAATTGTGCCTTCAGGACCCAAAGACCAGAACGGTTTTGGCCCTGCGGGAAGAAGAACAAAGTCCACCATGAGACCCTTTCTGGGGAGATCTCCCCTTTCGGTCTCCACTTTGAAAGATCCCAAGGAGGAAAGTCCACCCCCTTCTCTCTCCTACTTTCTCTCGTGCCTGCCTTTCTGCAGAAAGACGGTCTGTGTTCACAAGCAACACAAGAAAGCCGCCAAACGGGAGGAGGGAGCAGTCCTCCCCCCTCCTTTGCAGGTGATCCTCAGCTCAGGATCTGGTCTTGAGAGGCATCACACACACACAGAGGGAGTGTATGGAAAACGTCTGGAAGACGTTTCCCCTGCCCCTCGGAGGGAAGGTACAGGGAGGACCCCCCCTTCCCTCGCAAACCCCACTTCTCCTGTCACCTGAGATGGGGGGATCCTCCACCTCCCGCCTGACCCCTCCCCAGCGCCTCCCCCCTTTCCTCTCCGGCCCCACCCGGGATTTTGGCTCTTCAAGGGAGGGAGGGCAAGTCCCTTTCTCTCTCCTTCCTTGGTTTGAACCTGCCTCCCTTTTCCCCTTCCTTCCGAGGAGAGAGGGAAAAAAACGGACCTGCATGAAGGTCGAGCAGCGCAAACCGTAGGAGGCACCATCGGCAATTCCCGGAGAAGCAGGACCCCCTCCCCCCGCCAAGACTGCCAGGGAGCC